CCGTAAGATCAAGTTACAAACGACCAGTATAGGATTTTTCTTATACTGGTTGTCATTATCTTTTTAAGAAAAAATTTTAACTGATTTATTAAAAAACTATTTTTCTTTAATATTTACCTTAAATTGCTAAAAATAAACTTTATTATATATATTTGATAAATTTTTTTAAAATAACTAATTGATTAAAATTTTAATCATTTATAAATTCTATTCAAATATTTAATTAAAAATATTTTTAAGCCTTAAAAATGAAAAACATTTATAACAGATTAGGATATTTCTTAGAAGTGCTTTATTATTATGTTTTTGTCTTTGTGATAGTCATATTTTTAATAACAAGAATGACAGAGATTAAATCATTAACTGCAAGATCGGAAATTGAAAAGATTGGAATGGGTTACAAAACAGGATATGGTAAAATCAATCCCAATGTTGATTTAACACCTCTTTTTAGACACTGGAATACAAGACAAGTTTTTATTCTTTGTAATGCCGTAACAAAAAACAATACAGAAATGATTTGGTCTGAAATTGTTAAACGAGACATGGATTATGAAATTTTTAAACCGATTTCAACAAATTATCAATTTTCCATTGATTTAGATGATCCAACATTAGGCTTTGAATTAAAAGCTACTGTTTATCCTTATGTAGGTGCTCTAAGAACGATATCAATTTCAAGATTTAAAAAAAATAAAATTTAATCAAATGATATCAAAAACTCTCTTTAAATAAAACAATAACTGAATTTGATCCTCATCAAGTTCATCCTTAAAATACTGTTTCAAAGTATCAATAGACTTTCTAGTGACAACTGAGTAAATTGAGTCATTAATAGAGAAATGTCTATTGTAAATGATGTTTGTTTCTTCATTGGAAATTTTAACAGCTACTTTGGCACCTTTCTTAGCCACATTAACAGATTTTCTAGATTCTTCTATATTTGTTATAACACCTAATTTGATAATATTACCATCCTTAATAACACATACAGGAGTATTAAGTTTAAGTAAACCCTTCATAACCTCTACACCTATAATTAGGGGAGTTCTTGTACAAAATAGACAATTGGGTAATATTTTTAACTTACAAGGAAATACAGCTTCATCCTTATAATTTTCCTTATCAGCTTTTATTATTGAATCAGAAAAACTTTTATAATAATCAAGTAAGTGATAAATAATCTCAGCGGTATAAACTTTAACATTTAAATCTTTGGCAACATCAACTAAATCTTTATCAAGTTGGACATTAAATGAAAGAATAACTCTATGAATCTTATTTGATGCCAGTGAAGCCTTTAAAATACCTTTCTTTTTAATTTTACCTAACAAAATATTTCCAATTGGAATATTTTCATTTTTAAAAAAA